AGAGAAGCAGATTAAATACGCTACAGAAAACGCAGCAAGATCACAATGCAATGCCAATACCAACAGATAATATTTTACCGTTTTCACAAATGGCTTATACCGAACTCACAGTGAACGCTGCTGTGGACATTAGTCCAGCTCTTTTGACTTCTTTTCTTTCTTACACGGAGGAGTTGATCAAAACGGCAGGTACGAAATCTTCAACGCTTCGAGAAGAGGAAGAAGAGCGTTGCCATGTAGTTTCCGGAACTATGGACTTTGTCAAGGTGCGATTGTTTCCCTTGGAAAACTGTTTTTTGTTTTACACAGGAAAGGATTTGTTGCATCAGCCCAACACGTCCTCCGTGGTGCTATCATGGTTTTTGCAGCGTCACCACGAACTTGCCGCAACCATGATGTCGATGGGATTTAGTTTTCTTCTTGCTCTTGAGGAGCATCGGTTCTCGTGGAAAAAGGCGGCGGAGGTGCCACTGACGGCGTTGCAGTTACTATCCAACTACGCTCACACAGTGACATTCCGGGATGGGGTGAATGAATTTGAAACCCTCAGTGCACGCCAACATCTTTTTCTTATGGCCGCTTGTCTTCTTGTGTGTTGGAAGTATGCGGACATTGATGCCACCGCCGTCGTACTGCTTCAAATTCTTGATAGCACCTTCTTCCACCATCATCGTGTGCTTAATGTAAGAGATATCATTCAGGTGGAGTCAGTTGTTCTCAGAGTATGTGGGTTTTGCATAGAGGAACCCCGCTGGTGGGCAGTTGCCATTCAACTTCTTTCTGAATCTCTTGCTGAGGAAGAAGAGCAAATGATGCTGGGCGACGAGGAGGGGTGGGAGCGGCAGAAGGATGTGCAAGTGGGGTGGCCACTTTCTTTTAATGAGAACGAGCCTCGGTGTCGTTATGAGACCAGTTTGGAGCAACTTCTACTGGCCTGCGAACGCGTTTTATTGTTTTTAATGGATGCCGCTGCCGGGGATGGTGAAAGCACGGCTGAGCAAGACGGATGTGCAGGAGGTGCTGGTCAATCTTTTCAGACACGTGGTGTGGTCCGAAGTTGGATGGAGTCACATCCCCTTTTTGGCGTTGCCCTTGCCGTCTGTTGTGGTGCGGTGAATTTGGATTGGGCGGCATCCCACATTGGCCCAACGGGCAATACACACCACAAGATGACAAACAACAACACCGGTGGAGTTTTTGAGCAGCGACATGTCGTCTTCGCCTGCGGCATACGGAGCGTCATTCGGGATGCGGATGAGGCGGCACAGCGAGAGTTGTACAGAATGGTGACATTACTGAAGGAAGTGTTGCACCAATTTTTTTGAGACAAGAGACAAGCGATTGAGTTCGTGCTTTGCCTTCTTACACGCAGAAAACCTCTTTTTTTTAAATTTCTTTCTCCCCTCTCTCTCTCTGTGTGTTATTTTAATCAAAAGATGAAAGTAATGGCAATAATGGCGCCAGTGTGTGTGTGGTGGTGGTGGTGGTGGCAGTGGTGGGGCGGAATAGGATGCAACGATTGGTGAGGGGGGAGAAGGAAACACTTTGAAAGCTCTATGCTTGTTGTTGTTGTTGTTGCTTCCCACCTCTTTTCGTGGCCTCCTTTTTTTTTTTTTTTGTGTGTGTGTGTGTGTGTTTACCTGCTCTGTTTTTGCCTCCAACAGCACCTTTTATTATTATTATTATTTGCTCCTAAATATTTATCTTTTTGTGTTTGTTTCTACACACCTTGCACATTTGTTTTTATTAAGCCTTCCAAATGTATATGTATATACACATATGTCTATTACATCTCTCTCTCTCTCTCTCTCTTTTGATCTGATCCCCATTTTTCGTGGTTTATTGTTTCATTTTTTTTTTTCTTTCTTTGTGTGTGTGTGGCTGTGGCTGTGGCTGTGGATATATTTATACGAGCAATGGGTATTAATGGTGTTAATGCATGGGCCCCCCCCCCCGCTCTGTTGGAGTGTACATGTGATCTTCTGTGTGCTATCTGGCGAGTGGAGAAGGGAGGGGATGGTTGTTCTAACGGTTTTTTCTTTTTTCCTTTTTTCCTTTATCATTTTATGTATGCGTATTTTATTGGATTTTATTTATCTATCAAAATACGATCTATTTTTATCTGCCCACTTGTTATTGTTATTATTATAATATACTTTACATGCACACATGCATTATTTATGTTTGTGTTTATTTCATTTTTCATTTATTTTATTTTTATTTGGTTTATTTGTGGGACGGATGAGGGAGGGGAGGGGAGGGGAGGGGAGG